ATATCTTACACAATGGAATAAATGTGGAATAAAAAACATTTCAGTGTTAACTATTTTAAAAGAGTTGGTAAACCAAGTGGATGGTATAAAATCTAATGATTGGAACCAATATTCTGCTTTGTTCTAAAAAGAATTTAAGCCAGTCATGGTAGCTCACACCATTAATCCCAGTATTTTGGGAGGCCAAGGCAGAAGGATCACTCAAGGCCATGATTTCGAGACTAGCCTGGGCAATAGCAAGACCCCATGTCTACAAAACATTTAAAAATTAGCCAGGTGTGGTGGTGCCCGCCTGTACTTCCAGCTACTTGGGAGGCTGAGGCAGGAGGAGCTCTTGAGCCCAGGAGTTTAAAGCTGCAGTGAGCTGTGATGACACCACTGCACTCTAGCCCAGGCAACAGAGTAAGACCCTGTCTCAAAAGAAATAAATAAATAAAAATAAAAAAGATGTAAGACAAAAATCAATATTCATGTAACCTTAAAGAAGAGTTTTATAAATAGATTACAGTCAACTACATACTTTAAGCTTCTTAAGACAGTCTCAGTAACTCAGTAATGGTAAAGGAAGATTTGCTAAACATGGGTGTCAAGCCATAATAGCAATTCCAGTAAGTCTTAAGGGTAAGCCCTTAACAGACAAAAAATCAAATGTTGATAGTTGAGGTATTAAGTATTAAAGTCAAACCATTACTACGGGAAGTTATTGATGTAAATGGATCCTCACAAGTAAGCGATGTGATATTATATTAGCAGCTTCTTCGGTAAAGAAAAAAAAAATTGGTATTTTTAAAAAAGTAACTACTAAGTTTCAAGTACTAGTCATCCTGTTTAATCCTCAAAACATCAACACTTTGAGAAAGATTTCCCCACTTTACAAATAAGAAAATGAGACTCTAAGAGGTTGAATAACTTATACCAATCATAAATGGAGAAATAAAAAAGTACATATTCTACTTTCTTATTTAGTCTGTGGTAAATGAGAAGATTTTAAATCTCAGTATTTTAATTCAAGTTGCTCTAGATGAAACATCAAATTAAAGTGTAGGTTTCACGGCCGGGCGCAGTGGCTCACGCCTGTAATCCTAGCTCTCTGGGAGGCCAAGGCGGGCGAATCGTTTGAGCTCAGGAGTTCGAAACCAGCATGAGCAAGAGCGAGACCCCGTCTCTACTAAAATTAGAAAGAAATTAATTGGACAACTAAAAATATATAGAAAAAATTAGCTGGGCATGGTGGCACAGGCCTGTAGTCCCAGCTACTCGGGAGGCTGAGGCAGGAGGATCGCTTGAGCCCAGGAGTTTGAGGTTGCTGTGAGCTAGGCTGACGCCACGGCACTCACTCTAGCCCGGGCAAAAGAGTGAGACTCTGTCTCAAAAAAAAAAGAAAAAGTGTAGGTTTCACATTTTAACTAAAAATTCAGAATAATATATATTCACTTGTTCAATATAAATTAGCACATAACAATGAACTTAATTTTAAATTAGGTTTAAAATAAAATCCTAATAGAAATAGCTATTATTTCAGTGATAAGGATCTCCCATTATAACATTAAAAACTTAGTCCTAATTTCCATTAACCTTTAATTGTAGTATTAATTAACATCCCAGAGCTAAAGTAAATATTTACTTCAATAAACTTTGATAGTTTTCTAATAATTTCAATGTTAATCTAAAAAATATTATCATTAATATTTACTATTTAAAATGTTTCAAATAGCTTTTAAAATCCAACTTGCAATTATCGAAGTTGCAAAAGATATATACCTAAGAACACCTTTCTCAGAGGAAAAAAACAGAATTCTTGATCTTAAATCAGTATTTATATCTATATCAAGTCAAATCTACTCCCTCATTTTTCAAGAAGTTATAAATGAGAAAATATGAGAACTGCCAAACAAATTTAAATTATTAACCTACTACTAACTATTTAACTATTTAAAATTAATCAGCACTTTTAAAAGGATTTATAATTGACAAAATTGTGCAGTCAGTGAAACTTTGAGGTTTTTCTGCCCTAGCAGAAGGTGCTGGTAAAGCTGTGGCAAGAGCCTTTCCTGGTGAATTAACACAGCTGACAAAGGCAATCTTACCTCTCAGAAGAGTGCCTAACTGCATACTGATGAGTATTCCAAATACTAAGGTTTTCCTTGGGAGTTATTTTAATATAGATCTCATGAGTTTAACTAGAAAATTAGAAGTCATATAAAATGAACTCTGAGAAGGAGCTACTTATGCTGTACAGCAAGTTACATCTTTCTCTGTGCTTTGTTCAGTTTTCTTATCTGTAAACTGGGAATAATCATTTTATTTCCTTCTTAAGTGTTTATGACTAAAAACTGTAATGCACATCAATGTTTTACAAAATATTTCTCATATATAGTTTTCCATTAATAAAAAATATGAAATTTTTTAGAAAAATCAAACACACAAATGCAAAGACTGTTCACTTTTTTCCAATACAAAAAAAGACCAAAAATTATGACCACATATAAAAATAGTTCTAATACCTATAAGGTAAAAAATTCATGAATAGATAAAGGATTAGTTTTCAACAAAATTTTTTTTACTTCTGTTAGTTTTAAGGATTACTAGCATTAAAAGCAACTATCTAGACAGGTACAGGCAGTTTCCAACTTTCAAACAGATATGCTTAGAACTCCTTTTCCCAAGTTAAAAAAAAAGTCATACATAATAGCTCTTATAATATATTTAGCTCAAAGGCTAAATATATTAACCCACAATGTATTTTAGGTAAAGTATCAACACATTGCTTCAACTAAACCTACCCACCTTTATAAATTATTTCTCTAGGAAAAGGAATTCCATGTTTTAATAAACTATTGTTTATTAAATAAACTATCTCACCTCCAAACAGTGAGATAAGTTATTTCTGGCAACACTAACTATATAACTTCTTATATTTAAAAATAAAGAAAAAACATCTCTGGAGCAATCACCTTTCCAGGTGACCTGAAAAGGTTAATAGTTGGAGGTTCTGAATCACCTCATTCTACAGATAAAAAGAGAATCATTATGCCTATAGACTTGTACTTTTCCACTATCTGCTCATATAGACCATTAAGCATTTGTCAAATTGGAAACTGCTTGTATTACAATCATAGATCTTTTAAAACTCAGATTAGTGTTTAAAACAATAGTAATCATTGTCTCTTGATATAACTGTAGGTAGAAAATTTTCTGATTGTGGTTATCTGGCTTCATAATCAGAGTATTTAAATTGCTTTCAATTTCATATTTAAACATAACAACATGTTCATAAAGCACAAACATTTTAAAAAGTATTAAAAATGTGTAAAATATTGCTTCCACTTAAAATTCCAAAGCAGTTTCCCTCCTGATTATCTATAGATCTACCACTTCCCTGACAACTTCTTTCAGAGATTCGCCAAAATAACCCCCCTAGAAAGCACCATAATCAGAATACTTCGTACAGATAGTTCATGAACACTAAGAGTAAAATAATCCTACTGCAAAGGCACAAATAAGTCTAGAAATGTTTTTTTTCCCACCACGAAAAAGCAGGTTCTGGAGACTCAAAATTGCAACATGGACCTAATACCTTAACTTCTGTCAGCTGAGTTAACAAAACCAAACACATTGTGGTGAAAATATAAGGATCCAAAACTGTCCGCAGTGCTTCACAGCATGCCAGGAAACTTCAGAGAACCTCAGTTAAATACTTATACCTTAAATGACTTAATACTCCAGGACATTCCCAGCAGATATCTAGAACATATCATCCAACCCCCAAAAGAAAATAAAATAAATACATGCATACATATACATAAACTTTCAAAGTAGATGCAGAAATTCTTTGGATACACCTCAACCTAAGCCTGTGATCTGGAAAAAGCCAATGTCTTATAAGTAGTATTTACAGTTTTATACTAGTTTCCACTTCAATATTAGTAGTTTAAAATACTATTTGACTCTTTGGGATTCATTACAAACATGTTGTCCATTAAATCTTTAAGTAATCAAACTAACAGGAACACATTAATGAAGATAAATAATAAACAGATATGCAAATATAGGACTATAAAAATAAATAGTCTCATTCAACCAAATCAAGGCTTTAATCTCTAAAGTTGTCTTTAATTAACTGCTTTGAGGGAAATGAAAATAAGCAATAGCCTATGTCTGAGAGGAGCAGACAATCAGATATATAAATCTGAGGAATACAGGGCTGTGTAAAGCCCTCTCATTTTATGATGTCATCTAAACCACCTTGTGGAAAAGAAGTAGAGACTATGCTGAGAAAGCCTGCAAGACATGCAGATGAATTGGAGATCAATATAAGCAATGACAGGAAAAAGGGTAGGCTCTACTCAAACTGAACGCAATCTCCAGGTACTGTAAATTGGATGCTAAATTTCCTTAGAACAGACTTAAAGAAAGTATACTCTTAGCTCAGTGTATTATAAAACATTAATGTGCACCAAGTTCTTCAAACAAATGATGTTTATAAATCCCTTTTTTCAGTTACATAGAAAGCACTGGCCTTCAAAGATGCAATTTTGTTTTAAAAGCAAAATCACCATATAGCACAGCAAATCACCATTAAAGGTTTGGCAGAAATTTTTACTTTTTAAAAAGATCTTTGTCTAGCATGACACCATCTGATGTTGTTTGAAGCGTTAATCTTAACATATCCATACACTCTTTCAACCTGGGATCAGACGTTCGCAATCCTGTAGATTTGAGTGCCTGTTTTTAAAAAAATAAGAGTTTGTAAATACACAGTGCAAATAATGTATATGCTTATTCCAACTACAAGTTTTTATTCTTGTATATAATAACTTCTACCCAAGAACATGTATATGGCATTTTAGTGTCACTATTACCCACTTTCTGGACAAGTTTCTCAATGTTTCTTTCTTTTTCTTTCACTGATTACCTTGAAATGAGCATGATAAAAATTTGAAAACATAATAAGAGAAACAGTGTCAGTTAGAATCTACATGTCAGATGATCTTTTAAGACTACATTTCAATAATACTGTATATTGATTTAGTATTATGATTTTTTAAAGTTAAGATAGAAAAATATAAAAACTTACTGTAATAAATTTATGAACAGGTATCTTCTCTTGTCCTTCTGCAATTGTATAGAAGAGCAAATCTTCCAAGCTAGGTAACAGACCCTGTTTTATTTTACTAAAAGGGTAGAAAGAATACAAAATTAATCCTTGTGAACATTCTAATGGATTTTTAACAAAGTCCATTATTAAATAATCATGGAACTAGACTATAGCTGAGCTGATCTACTCATCAAGACCAGTCATAATAAATGCTGATTTACCAAAATCATATCAGTACCACTACAAATCACACTCAAAAACAACTAAAAATCAATTCATTAATACATAGATTTTAATAGCAGGTTTTGAAATCCTGGCAACCAACTCTAGTTGTGCTAATGCACAGTCATCTGTTATGGTGATGCCTTCCTAGACAACCCCATACAATCACCCAATACTGATTATAGAGCCCAGCAAAGGTTCAAGTAAGAGTCATCATTCTGTTCGTTTGTTTCCGTTTATATAGCGACTATATTTATATATTATTCAAACAGTTAACCTGATTATAAAATCTGGGAGAGACAACAACTATTGGACAGTAGTTAAAATCAAATGCGCAAGTTCTTGAAATCCTGGCTGTAATACTAGCTGTGTAACCTTGGGTAAATTAATTAACCTTTCTGTGATCCAGTTTCATCATTTGAGAAGTGGGATAATAGTGCCTACCTCACAGGGTTGTTGTGAGGATCAGATGACTCAATACATTCAATATCTTTAGAACACTGCCTGGCAGAGAGTAAGTAGTCGGCTGATGGTAGTTGTAGTTATTATTTCTAAAATGATCTAGGATTATATATACCAGTTAGCTCTTTGCATCCTCAGATTCAACCAACAGCAGATCAAAAATATTCAGGGGAAAAAAACAAAAAACAAAATATAATAATACAAAATAATACCAAAAAAGATAATATAACAACTATTTATATAGCATTTACATTGCATTGGGTATTATAAGTAATCTACAGATGATTTAAAGTATACAGGAGGTTATGTGTAGTTTATATGAAAATATTATGCCATTTTATATAAGGGGCTTTAGCTGCGGAGATCCTGGAACCAATCCCACCACCGATAGAGGGACCAAGGGAAGACCGCACAGATCAAATTCCACAAATCATAAAGACTATTAAAACAAAAATTTTACCATAAAAAAATTCATTAAAATCTTAATTAAACTAGTATAACAATAAGATGCTGTGATCAACCAAACTTTTAAACAAGAAAGGAATTTTTTCCTATTCATTGAAAAGCTTTCAAGTAAACAAACTATAAAGAAGCTGTTAAATATCTTTTTTTGGCTCTGTAAGTGAAAATAACACATTTCATTATTGTAAACATCAATGACTGTCATTCATATTACAGTGATGTTATAATGATTACAAATCTAAGGCAGACAAATCCCCTATCACTATATATTAAAATGGCAGAGAGAAATATATACATACATAATGTATGTGTATATGTATGTACATATGTGTGTATATAAAATATTCAGGAGAGGACTTGTATTTCAAGAAAGCAAGAGAGAATATGAGAGACAAAAAAGAGAATAAGCATTTTCCTAAATTAAATTTATAACTTAATATAGTCAATTCTGGACTAGTCACAGGTATGATGGCAACTTTCATAGAAAAATTATATATATTACTTTTGTTAAAAAAAGAAAAGCATAAGTCTGTTTAAAATTGTGTTTTCATACTGTTGAAAAGAGCTTTCTAGATGTCTAAATATTTCCTGGATTACCCAAAGATTATATAACAGTTCCGTCCTGTAATAAGACCACATGTATTTAATTATTTCCTAATATAACTGCTCCTCAAACTATCAGTGATCCATATATTTCTATCTTAAAAGACAATATAGAGTTGGTTCACAAAGCATGTACATGTACACATACACATATAAAATTTCTCAGAGAAATATTAATATTGGCATATCATTTGTATTTGTTTTCAAAACCGTTAAAGTAACTTTTAGTTTTTAAGGTCAACCTTAAAATATATGAATGTCACACCAATGTTTTTAAAAAACTAAGACACAGGATTATCATTTAAAAATTTAATGACAAATCCTGAAATTATTCCCTAAAAGTATTTTTGCTTTTAGATAATTTTTTAATAATAGCTAAAATTTATTGATCACATATTTTAGATACTGTGCTAAGTGTTTTACATGCATTCTAATTTAATCCAATGGTTTGATGACAGAGGTACTATTATAATATTATCCCAAATATAGAATGATTTCTTATACACAGAAGCTCAACAAATTTATTATATTTGTTGAAAAAAATGAATAATTCTATCCCCAATTCGCAGATCAGGAAACAGAGGCTCAGAGAGGTTAAGAAACTTCCCAAGGTTGCACAGTGGCAAAGATGGATTTGGAATCCTGTTTCTCTGAATCTAAGCTATTTACCACTACACTACACTGACTCTCTAACTTACTAGCTTGTTATTACCTTTATGAGGTACAAACAAGTTTTCTAGGTCTTACCCTGATCTAACACTATTAAACAGAGTTCAACAATACTGATGACCTAATATTTAAAGAAAAATTGAACCAGCTGTCAAAAAAGCAGTGGATAATAACATACCAATTATTTACAGAAAATGGTCTGTCAGATAAACTTCAGACGGTAGTAGTTTATCACTTTAAAAAACTGCAGAATAAGCTTTCTATGTATTTATCACACCAGTAAATGGTATTTGCTTTGCCTAAAAGCTATGTAAATAACATAAAATATACACTTCTTTAGTTTATGGTACATAGTGCAAAAAAAATTAAAATGACCTTGTTATTGCCATAGCTAGCAAAGAAGATAAATATTTACTTGCTTTTAAACAAGAAACTAATTTTTATCCATAGGAGAAAGAATTTAAGCCATCCCTAAAAAATAAGCTCACAAAATAGTCAAAATTGATAAAAAGAAATTACTACCTATATCAACATTTAAAAGCTCAGATCCTGATCTGAGAATAAGTTATCTTCAAAACAGTCTGGTAAACAAACATACACAAATATTCTCCCCAAACTTCCAAAAAGGCAGAAATTATTCCAAAGATATTTCATGCCTTAATACCCTTTTTCTCTCCCCAAATTTAGTATGTCATTATGGCAGTGCTTCACAACGATAATGTATTTTGCTATTAAAATTCAAAAACTAAAAACTATAGTTTATAGTAACTATATAGTAATTAGGAAATCCTTGATAAGTATTTAAGTTTTAATGACAAAAAATAGATTACAGCAAGCTTTCAAATCTTATCATCAACAATTCCCAATAAACCCAAGTGAGCCCTCTAGACTCCGTGGAGGGAAAAACAAATTGGGTATGATACTCAGCAACTAAAATAGGATATACAGAGAAGATAATTCAAAGAAAAAACCTTGTTTCACACCTTTCTAATCCTTCCCCAACTTTTACTCTCTGTCATTTCCTTTCTAATTTCTGCCTATAAGATCCTTTTACCATCATATTATTCCTACCTTTCTCTACTTTAGACTCTCAAAATAACTGCCTAAAAATAATTTTTCTTTAAAATAAAAAGAAGAAAAATCCCACGTACTTAACTATGACATGCACAACATCACATCAGGCATTTTTTACAGACTAGAAGGAGAAACATAAGACATGTACACATGAGGAATTACAAGAAAGGAGCTACAGGATCCAGTCATTGGAAAATACTTCACTGTGGGCTAAAAAGCTAAAGCTTTTTTAGAAGAAGTGAAATCTGAGCTAAACTTGAAAGATGGGTAGGAACTGGAAGAGAAACAGCAGAAGGGCATTTCTGGTAAACAGGCAAAAAGGATGAAAGCAAGCATTCGCTGGGTGTTTATAAAGAACAGCAAACAGCTAGAGCATAGGATGTATGAATTAAGGTATCTGTTTCTACCTATAAGCTATTTTATTACAGATACCTAATTTTCAGGGTTGAGAGAGATTTATATAAATCAACTGATAAATGAGGAGAGTATCCTCCAAAAAAATATATGAAGTTTAAATTCAGGGCCAACTTCTACAACACAAAAAGAGGCACTGTCTTTGCTTACTGTACTCACCAATCAGTTTCTCCATACCAAAGGACAATTTCATACTCCTTAGTCTGGTATTCAGTTCCCTAAAAATTAGCTTTACATTACCCATTCCTAACTTATCCCTTGTAATTTACCAAGGTAACTGACTAGACTCATTGACCTATAAGTCCTGCTATCTCACCTTTATTTTTTTTATCTATTATGCCTTCTGTTTATAACCTTCCTCTCCCTAAACCTTTAAGGTATCAATGATCATTCCACTTGTTTCACAAGATTTTGCCCAACCAGATTCTCTATACTCTTTAGCACTCACTTGCTGCCATCACTATGTTTTGTACTTTTCTTGTACAGGTTATTATGTGTCAAGCATTGGGGACAAAAATGAATAAAGTAAGGCTGCAGTTTATTAATAGAAGGAGAGATGAGACTACAGCAATGTAGTATATACTATGGTAGAAATGTAATAAAAAGTATTAGGAAGTATACCAATGAAGCATTTAATTATGCCTTCATGGGTGAAGGAAATCAACAAAGTTTCTAACTTGGTAGCAATACTGCAAACTCACCTTTATCAGTTCAAAATCTCATAAATTAAAAACTCTATCAAATGAAAGGAGGAAAATGAAAAACAAATCTTTACTAAGAACTATGAAACAAACAAGGGAAAAAAACTGAAAACCAGCTGTACTGTTTTATTTTGTTAAATATTATTTCTTATCATCTGACCTCTCCAAACTATAAAGCTTTAAGGCTGGGGTGATGTCCATTTCTTTTTTTTTTTTTTGCAACCCTGCATAACTCTTAAAACACATAATATGGTACGGTAAACCTATGGGATAATCAAAAACTGTTTTTTCTTGACTGGGTTAAAAAAATGAGGCTATTAACAGAATACAAAAGTACCTGCTAATTTCCTTACATTGTATCTTCATTTATGAATAATGATCCTTAAGAAGATATTTGAAGTTTTTAAATCAGTTTATCATTTTTAATTTAGAGTGCTCTGACTGATAGCAAATGTAAATTAACATAAGC